TTTGCTCTTAGAATAGAGTCCAAACCAATTGTTTTCTACCAAAAAATTCAAGTAATTTCGACTTGAATCTCATAATCAAAGTCGTTAAAGTCGAAATTTCCAAGATGGGTTTTCATAATGCAAGACAAAGATTTATGCTTTGCTTTAGAAAGTGATTAACTCAAAGTCTTTGTTACAGGATCATATAACTTTATTTGTTGAGTGAAAAACAACATAGATAGTGAAGTTAAGGAGACAATGGACCTGGAAACAATGATACAACAGAGGTTCTTGTTTCATCACGAAGATGTGAATCAAGACTGAGTCTAACTAGAGGTGTTTTTGATGCCTGACTCTTTCTGTTTTCCATTCTTATAGATGTGCCAAGAGCTGTGTAATTACTAGTATTGTTTAAGCCTCGGGAAATCTTTCTGTTTATAGGGCTTGCACTGCCGAATCCACCATTGAGGCTTCGATTTGAGATACGGCGGTTGCTGGTAGTTGGTCTTGCCACATAAAAGTTATCTGGCTCAGCCACAGGCTGTGGAAGTATCTTCTTCATTTCCTGCATAGTTAAAAAACAGGTTTGAATAAAATGATTTCCTTTACAGTTTGGTTATTCATGAAATTTTTTATTTATGAGAGACTAACTCGGAGTCTTTGCTTCTCCACCTCCTTTTCCTGCCTCATCTTACTGTACTCTTGTAACATTGCAACCAGATGTACCTGAAGAAACCACAGATGAGTAATTCTATCTGTTTTCAGAATTTCCTGTGGTTATATTGGAAAAAGTCGTAAACTTGTGTCACCTCATCGTACAAGAAGAGTTTCTGTCTTTCTGCTTCCCAGCTCTTAGTCTTTACCAATATAGATTCCACTAATCCTGGTGTGAATATCATAGTAGAGTCAATGTGTAGGTTGCTTTATAACTTAAGAAGATACATGTTCATGTCCAAATGTCATTTTGTAACACTATCTGTTGGTATCTGAAAGTTGGACCCCAAGGAACTGCTTATATTACCTGTGGTTTTGCTGACTGTTATGCGTGCCCGTTCTGCTCGCCTTAGGTTTCGATGAGCATTTCTACTTACTGAGTACCGATTCTCGTCCTATGACAACATAAGGGATTGTTGCATGAGTTAGACTACATAGATGAAATGCAGTCAATTTCGTAGAAGAGCGGCAGAGAATAGCGAAACCTGGTCATATTCTTCTAGCCAGCGCTCTTCATCACGTGCTAACATCCACCTATCCACTTTTTCAATTATTCCTTTTCTACTTGATGCTTCTTCCTTTGCTCGTGCTATCTTTTCATCCATGGTGGCGAGAAGGTCAACATGGTCAATTTCCCCTTAATAAGAGAGTATGAAAACGCTGCAATGAGTACATAACAAAGACACGCACGCAGCAGTAGCAGAAAGTTACAGTTAGTCTAGTCCCACCAGAGTCTACAAGGTTCGTTATATTTCCCATCTCGGTTGATGGAGTCTCCATATGTGATCTGTTGCATGTATCCTCTAGTTCTTTTTGCTTCTTGAGGAAAAGTTCTTTGGTTTTGCTCGCTTTCAGTTGATCTAGTCTCTTGACTTCAGCCTCACCCTTGGGGAAATTAGTGCAACGGAAGAGGCGGTCACATCATCTATCATTGGTATGGAACCTTTGTATAACACCATATACGTACCTGCTGAATTATGCTCAATGTAATGCTTCCAGGAGCACACACGTCTGATGGTGCAAATGACAGTAAATCAATGACATGAGAAAAGTGTTGACGGTCTTCATTAGATGCATCCATTAGATTCCACAGGTCTGATAAAGCTCTACCAAGATGGTGAAGCTGCCATTAGTAAGATGTTTTAGTTGGTCAGATAACAATTTCTTGGTTCCATCTTTTTGTCTATTTGATAAATGTGAGTCTTTACTGATCTCTGTTTTTAAATGCTAGACAATTTATTGAAATATGTCTAATTATCTTCACCTTTTCAAGGCGCTTCTGCTTTTCCTCTTCGAGAGATACAACTGTGCCATGAAGCTTTTTCAGGATATCGTCACTGATGTTTTTTGATATTCCATAGAGGTCATTCAAGCTTGGGTGAATCTTTGTTATGATCATTGAAGCTTCTGTTCCCAAGGTTGCTGATAGATCTCGAATGGCGCATATATATATTTCAACCTTTTGGAGTCTCTCATTCTGGTATGACAAAAAGTAATCAAAGACAACATGATATGGATAATCCAAAACTGTCTGATAAGTAAAAATAAAGGAATTCTGATATTACAAGGTACCTTCTCATCATGGAGCTTATGCAGTTCATTCTGATATTCCTCGAGTTTCTTACTAGAAAGATCGTTGTCGTCTATAGTTATATTTCTTGTTGAGTCTTCAAATGTTGATCTACCTTCTATTTCTGCTGAAATTTTCTGAATCTCCCCTTTGACAGATCGGAACTGCTTCACTCTCTCGTCTTTACTCAACCTCATCTCGCGTAGTGCAGGCGCAATAGAATCCAGCTGCTCCCTCAGTGTTCCTTCCTTTTTCTCTGGCTGTATAGAGAATCACAAACAACATTATCTAAAAATGTGAGCTACTCTTGGCTTTGTTTATCAGCTGTCTAGAAGATTGTTGTTCATTGAATGTTTAAATAATCTTTTGCTAACATGATATATGTTAATGAAATGAAAATTACCCTTCCAGGCACTGATCGTTCACCGAGGCACAACAGAAGATGGGTGAGTTCGGCTTCAGATTCTGCCAGCTCTTGATGTAAACGAGACCTTGAAATATTAGCCTGGTCGACTTTTCTTCGGTAAGCCTCTACACATTCCTGTTCTATATCAAGCAAGACCTTCTCTCTTTCAAACTTATCTTCTCCAACTTCATCCCATATCATCTGTGGTACACAAAACAGTCACATCACGAATCATTTTACTCGAAAGAAACAATTTAAACAAACTTACCTGTAACTCTCTGAGCAAATATCCGCAGGACGTATCTAACAACGAGGAGCTTCTCATTCCTATTGGTGTCTGTAGTGAACCCATCTTCTGATGATGGAGGATACTCTCTAATGTCCTCTGTTTTCTTCTGGGATTGAGGTATGAAGCAGCAGCTTAGTGCTTTTGGTGCTGGTTTTGCTTTGAAGACAAGTGTGAAACATGAAAGTGACACATATTCTGCTACAGAAGCTTCCTGTTTAAGTGAAGGCTCTTCCGCATCTCCCTCCTCCTGCTTGATTCTTCAGTTTCAGTCTCTTTCTCAGCTATTTTATTTATTTTATGTAAATTTGGTAAAGTTTAGGAGTCGCTTTTGTGCTGATGCGTTTGCTTGTGCTGTATGAAAAAGCCAAAAGAGAAATGTTTTTGTTAATAGGACACAAAACTTGATTCCTAAGCAACATGTCGTGGTTTATCTCCCATTTTTGTTAACTTTAAATTTTGAGAAATGCTACTTTTAAAGTATTATCTTTTAAAAATATCATATTTTCAGAATTTTTGCATAAATATCATTTTTTAAAAATTATATTATTCATTATTTATTTTTACAAACGGATAATCCATTATAGCATTTTTGTAAAGTGACATGTATCCCTTCTTTTTTAAAATTAACATGTGTTTGACATTAGAGATAGAGAATCTCACG